GATGATGATTTATGTTTAATGTCTTGTTGCACAGACTCAAAGATCTACAGACGAAAACTAACAAGTTGACAGAAGAGGCAGATCAGGGTGGCGAAGGGCAGGGGAGGGCAGTGAAGACGGGACTTCCTTCAGGTGAATGTGGAGAAGACAGAGGTGATGAAGATATCCAACCAACTACAGTATGAACAGCAAGCACCAATCAACATCACCATTAACAGAAGAAACCTGAAGGAAGTAGTCTCCTTCACCTCCCTCCCTACCCAGGCAGCATCATTCCAACTACAGGCGACACAGGCACACACGACGATGTCAAAACCAGGATCAGGAAGACAGCAAGATAGGCTTTCATCAATCTGAGATCAGTGTGTGGAGATCTACTGCACTCAGGATAAAGTGTGAACAAGATCCGGATTTTCAACATTAATTCAGTCAAGTCAGTGCTTCTATGTGGTGGTTGAGAGACTTGGTGAGTTACGAAAAGCCTTTTCAACAAATTACAGTCATTCATCAGCAGCTGTCAACCACACTTACTCGATAGTGAAGATCAGTTGGCCAGAATAATAAGAATAAACAACAAGGAACTGTGACTGGCTGGCTGGCAACGAATCAACTGAGAACCCATTGCCCAAGAAATATGCGGAAGAGGAAAGTGGAGATGGATTGGATTGGATTGATCATACACTGAGAAGGCCGATTGGGGACATGGTGCGTCAGGCTAGGTTCTGGAGTGGAATGCAAATGGGAAACGACGAGTTGGGTGTTTATGGTGAGGGTGACATGAAGGAGATCATGTGAGGAAGAAATGAAAGCTTGTGGTCAGTCATGGCGCCAGGTTGAAAAGACTGCAGAGAACAGAGTGCAATGGGGATGTGCTACTGAATCCCTGTGTTTCACTAGGAACCCATGGGACAAATAGTAATAATAAAGATACACTCCAATTACGGGTGAAATTAAAAGAGTTAAGGAGTAAGGAATAATTACACGGTAAAATTGGTCCGCAAAATCAAAAATAGCATTAAATTAAGTCTTAAAACTGCTTTTTTTCATAGTCCTCAACAATAATTATCACATACATCGTATGGAATAAGAAGAGTGCTCAACAAGTGCAATATGAGAGTGTTCTACAAAACATCAAACACATTGCAGAACATTTTAGTTCATTTTAAGGACAAGATTCCCCTTGATTCACGATCTATTTGTGTTTATGAAATAAAATGCTCAGACTGCGATACAATATGCAATGCAGGACAAACCTCCTGTGAAATCAAAATTAGAAAACATGAACACCAAAGAGCTTCCACCCGACCTCCTCGAAATCCCGTGGAACTGAAAAAACTTGAAGATACTTCAGCCATAGCTTTACACCTTATAAATTCAGGTCACAAAGTCAATTTTGACAATATCAAAATTATTCAGAAATGCTTTAAAAGTTATAAAGAACGTCTCATAGCGGAATCTATTCATATCAAGCGAAATGAAAATTGTATAAATGGCAATGAGGGAGTAAAACGTAGTTTCACCTGGTCTCAACCCACCCCTACATACTGACATAACCAACATACATCAAGACGATAAGAACTATCAACACATGTGCATACAAACCTCAATCTGTAATTCGTACACTTTTCACACACAATACAATATATATGGATATCATATCTAATGGTAGTATTCATCATGGACTGACATCAGGAATGTATACATTACTGTATAACACTCATTAGTAACTTGCTTCCAGATGATTATCAAGATGCTCTAATGAGGAGCCTTGACCGTTAAGGTCAACCAGTAGTAAGTGAAATGGATGTTAACTGAAGACTTTGGGTGATAGTCACGCTATATCGTGAATTGACAGAAGTTGGAAATTGTGAACCACTAGAAGCCGACCCAGTGGCTGAATGGTTAATGCGTTTGCCGTAAAATCTGAAGGCCCTGAGTTCGACCCCTGGCTGGGTCGTGGGCGCGTACTGCTGAGGAGTCCCATACTAGGACGAAACAGCTGTCCAGTGCTCCCATATTTCCGATGGTTCCCTAACTGATGTCAGTCCATGATGATTACTATCTCTAAGTTAGAAATCCCCATTCTTCTCAAAAACACAGTACGATATCATATTCAACAACTTAACAACTCAGAATCATTCATGCAGAAGAACACTTATCAAGCTATCATATATAAGCTGGGATATTGTAAATTCCGGTTTACTATGACGTCGATAAAACTATTAGCATTAAGTAATCAAATGTCAGTTGAGACAAAATTATTTTGTTTTACATTCATTGGGAAATACAAATAATAATAAAATGATTATGGTTTTTCATGTTCATCAGTCAGACATACTTTCTTTTTATACTTATGAATATTCAAGACTATAATTCTAGTGATCTAAATAAGTTGGATGATATTTACTGAAACAGCAGGTCTCTTTGCAATGCTTTACTATATTGTGGACACTTATAGGCAGGATTAAGTAACATGTGATGAACGATTCATCTTCATCACTGACTGACGCCAGCTGGAAAACCACTGAATACCCCTGGTCAGATCCCAGCGGGGGTCAGGGCCTAGACTGATAGGTCTAACAGTGATTAAGTAACCGTCCAGCTCCTGGGTTATAACCTCATAGTTCATCATTTATTAATTCCGTAAAGTTACGGGATGCAACCATGGTCATCATTTATTAGGAAGTAACTGTCTTCTTTTCCAACTCTGTTGACCCTGTGAGTCGCTGTTTCCCAATAAAACTTTTGGAAATCTATCTTGAAAGTCACTAAAGAGTACTACATATTAGATTAATTGAAACCTGCTTCGGAATAAATAAACCTCGCCTGGTTAACTAGTTTACTAGTTACTAGCCGATCCCAAGCCCGGATAAACAGGGATGGTTGGGCTTAGAGCTAACAACCCTAACCCATAAAACCAATCCAGTTGCTAAAGGAACTTCTAAGCACAAAGAAAATATAAAAAGTAATAATAAAATCGCTCGTCGCTGGAGTCGGAGGTATAAAATGACACCAGTCGGCGAAAGCCTTCGGGAAGCCAGTTTACCGATGTCTCTCCTCTCGATGAAAGAGAAAACAAGGATGGGGACATGGAATGTCCGCATCATGTATGAACCTAGCAATGCTGCCCAGATTGCAAAAGAGATGAGGAGGTATGGTATAGAAGTGCTTAGAATCTGCGAAAGTAGATGGAATGGAAGTGGATTCTCCAAACTCTTAACTGGAGGGTCAATAATCTACTCCGATATTGTCACCCAGACGACAACCACAAGCACACTGAGTTATGGAGTGGCTATCATGATATCTCCAAGAATATCGAAGACCTTATGTTTTACTAGGAATCCAAGGGAATAATAATGATAAACTACCTGTTAAGTTATTGAATTTAGTTCGGTTTTCTCAAATATCTTATCCATATGACAAGAAGTGAATGCACTCATCGTACATTGTAGCATACAACAAAGTGAATGACATTGAAAATGTATCCGATAAAAGATTAGTCGGGTAACAACAAAACCTCATTCATAGTATTCATAGTTGTCATTCATTTGATGTCTATCAAATTCGATATTTAATTATAATGTAAATAAATAAACTTATGAGTATCAATGATGTATTTCTAAAACCTTTTTTCCTCAATTTACAAAATAAGAAGTTATCATAAGCTTATGAATCTATTTAGCGAATTCATTCAATTCTGAGGTTGGAGGGAATTTATTTATTGATTTCAGGTTGGTATTCATCATAGACTGACGTCAGTTGGAGAAACAGTGCTCTCAGGTTTTCAATGTTTCACGAAGTAATGTCAGTCTGTGTTAAGTACCAACCTGTAATCAATAAAAAATCCTCAGAAACCTCAAAATTTATTTAATCTAATGCTAACTGGTGACTTTTTTCAACAGGTAATTCCCAAAGTTTTGATGAGAAGTTATGACCATTGAGGACAGCGAAGTCGGATATGAGAACAGAGACTAAACGACAGCATTCGATGGAAGTCGCTGTATATAATGAACTGACAGAATTAAGAAATATGGACCAAAATCCTTAAGTAGAACATATTTCATCGCCAACCTTTGAATTATTTGTCTTGCAAGATACATTTTGGTCAGTGTGTGAAAGACAAGTTGACGTATTGGGTCACAGTGTGTGTATGCCAGTTAACTTGCTCCTGCAGAGCTAACTACATCAGCCGTACCATGCACCCGCCTGTGAAACATACTCCAGAATACTAGACAACCTGACTAACAAGGAAAGAAGGGAAATATATCTTCAACTCAATAACAGAACACCTTGTGAACATAGGCCGCTCAGCTCACCTTGAGAACTCATTCACAATCCACTACAGAGTTCGATCAATCTCAGTTTATGAGAATGATTATGGTATTAGTGAAGAGTGTCTAAAATAGTGTTTCGTCCATTTAATGTCTTCAAAATTGCTAAGGCAAGTGAAACATACACTACCAAGATGAATAGCAGAGTTTTGAAGTAATCCTATCCTATCGTACCCCCTTATAAAACAATGCATTTTTTCTTTGTTCGCATCTCGTACATCTATTTATTCTTATTTTTTTGCTACTACACTCTACAATTACTTCATTTTCACACTATAGCAGAGTTACAAAAAAAATGGATGAAATTATGAATTAATCTGACGTGTTTTCTAAGTCACAAGTCATCTACATCTGATGCTCATCTTATGTTGCAATGATCATGTAGTTTATCAAAGTCATCCTTAATGTTAAAGCGCATGTGTCAGGTCATTCTACAATCATTAAATCATCACTATGTGATTACTCAATTCTTATTGGTCAACTCTTGAGTCTGTCTTTTGTTGTCGGCTTGCATATGTGTTTGTCCATCTAATAATCTTAACTTTTCACACCAACTTAGTGGTTAGTAAGTGGTGGAAGAGTTGATGCATTCCAACCATAAGTAATTGACTGCAGGCTGTAAACTGCAAAAAACACCTACATAATGAAAGAAAACGTGTTAAATTTATTGCACTATAGCGAATGAGAATAATGATGACGATAATGTTGTACTCAGTGAAAGAGTTATTCTTATAAATTATATCATATTGACTGACGTCAGTGCAGAAATTGTTGAGTTTCTTGGACTGGAATACTTATAATACTACGGAGAAGAAGAAGAGGAGTCATATTATCGCATTTCTTCTGAAGAAACTTTTAACAAGTTTAATTAACCTATGGAAAAATTACAACAGTTATTGCAACAGCAACAACAATCAATGTTTCAGAAACAATTACCCGGACAACAGGTAATGCAGAATCAATTATCAGCTTACAAAACTATCAGAATTCTAACCAATCAGCTGAACAACATTTTGGAGACAATGAAGAGAACGAAGAAGATGAATCACTACAAGAATTCTTACAACCTCAGTCTCAGCAACAACAATCATCTGACCCACTACAAGAACAAATTCAACACATGAAAAAGAAGTTACAAGAACAAATATCTTTATCTAATGCAAAACCGGAACAACAACAATCAAAGAAACCGGAGTTTTCTCTCCGTCAGCAACCACCACCACCACAATTACAAGAATCACCGTCTTTGTCAAATCGTAGCCAGCGCCAAGCAGCATCAGAAGTGAAAACTTCTTTACAACAAGTTGAACCATTCGATCGAAATTTCGACAATCATGGAGAAATTATCCAGAGAATTTCACAAATAAAGAGATGAAGAAAGCAACTAAATTACTGGAAAATGATATCAGTTCACAGGGTGACGACAATGACGAAGATGACGATGTAAGTTAACAAAAGTTAATTTTCATCTTACTATCTGAGATAGCCGTAGTTTGACAGACTAGTATTTATATTGGGTGATGATTAAAGGTGAAATGAAAATTTGGACCGCCGTTGGATTCCAACCAGTGACCGCTTGGTTTCCGACCCGATGCTCACTGGTTCGAATCCGGCCGCGGTTCAAATTTTCATTTCACCTTCAATCGTTACCCAGTATAAAAGATTATTTGCGCTGCAGATTGTTAGTCCTGTTCGCATTGAAGTGGGATATATATATATATATATATATATATATATATATATATATATTCACGTATTTGCTAGATCTAGTGATTCTGTATTTAGTAGTTTACCGGTACTCATTGATGAATTAATTGTCTTAAACTGTGGCTCACTGGCTTAAAAGTTTGACCCTGAGGCGGCGGATCTGAATTCACTTTTGTGTTCACCACCTTGGTCAAGACACTCCTATGGTACAATAAATGTTCATACAATAAGTGTAGCACATCGCCTAACATTAATATCTGAGTCAGTTTGAGGTGTATCATATCATTGTTAAACTGAAAGAAAATAGTTGTTCACTGTTCTTACGTTTTGAGTATTTCCAGTAGGCGACATCACTTTGCAATGAGAATCGTTTGGGATTATTGTCAGAAGAAGAGTAAACAGTGAACCGCTGAATGGTAACGTTTGTGACTGTAGCACTGAGTAACGCAGGTTCGAATCTCAAATAGAACATCAATCTTGTAGCGGTTACAGATACGCGTTGCTGATGAGTGCCAACAAGAATGAAACATAGGTCCAGGACTTCCTGTCGATTGCCTCCAGCCAACTGATATCCATCAAAATGCACCGTGACGCTCAGCCACCTAGTTTAATGACCACATTGTAAAAATGATGGATAGAATTCGATCAGCACTTAGAACTAGACAACATGAAGTTAATTACTCTCCAGTGACCAATCAGTGTGACAGTGAAAGGTTGTCAGTTTAGTTGTGTTCCTTCTTTTTTCGATAACATTTAAAAATTTTGAGTTAACTATAAAGTTTGAAATGCTTAGGAAATGAAATGAAAAGAAAAATAATGTTGGGTATGGATTTTCAGACTATAATTGTTGGTGAGTACTGTTTTATTTAAGAGTAATGGACTAAAAAAGCGCACTAACGTACATGTACACTAGAAATTTAATCGATTCAGTCTTGCTCAGTGACATTTTATTGCAATGATTGTATTTCTTCTGAGTGAACTTACTGTATTATAGTTCCACTACTATCTTCTGTCTCGTTTCCTAAGAATAATTACATGCAATCTACTTGGATCTGAACATTGCGCCATCTGATGCTTGAGTTTTAAGCATGAAAAGATCAAATAATTACATAATCCATAAAAGTCACTTGAACACTTAGGTGATCTGATCTCTTGACTTCTAGAAGTAAAACAGTAAACATTTAGGCTGTAATGACAAGTTTTATCTGTTGAAATGGAAGTAATTACTGTGAATCATTAACCTGATAGATAACATTATTATGCTGGAGGTAATCGGGTTTATCTGAATGAATAGGATCAATCAGATGAAGACAAAGTTGTATCTATTTAACAACGTCTGGTAAGACATTTTTGGTAACGTTTTTTGTTAGATGTTAGAATTAAATCGGCTGGAAATCCTCGACTTTGCTTTCGTGTCTACTGGTACTCATCGGAAATGTTTGTCTGTAAATATGAAGAAACTGAAGATTCTCCGATAATTAGAATGTGTGTCACTCACAGCTAAAGTCAGAGATTTTATGGTTAGGCTATTCAAGCTAAATTTGAGCCTTGTGATACTCGATCATCTCAAAATAGAAATTATCATTTTCTGATACTTTATCAACTTTATGAACTGATATTGTATTCCATACAACTTCTTCAAACCTTTTCTGGGCCATCCATAATTACACATTTACATAGATAGGGATTTAGCACACTTGACGCAAAAATTGTTTATCTCATATGATTTATTTCCGTAATCTCATCAGCTGTTTTACTCCTTACCGAAATTTTATACGCCTAATATCAGCTTATCTCATTCAGTGGTCTATATCGAAGTAGGGGAGGATAAAATATCAGTTGGTGCATTCCCTTTCAGTAGTTTACTATTCAGAGAAAATCTTAACAGTTTAACCTCGAATTAGACATGTTTTCTCAATTTTCATTACTTTATTCGAATATACATCAAGTGAAATGAACTAATGACTTAGATCACTAGTCGATATTGAAGCAGCCTAATTAATTAAGTTTATTATTATTATCATTATTTAATTAGTATTCAAGAAAGATAATCGGCTGACAGTCTTCTACAGCTAGAATCTATTAAATGATACAACGTTTGTCTTCTTACGATATAAATGTTAGTTGTTAAAAATAAGTGCTAAATGTGTCAATGTATGATATTTCGATGAATTAATAAATAATATGATCACTATGGTTAACATTAGTACAATTACTATAAGCATGGGTGGTAGTGTTCAATGTCAAATGTTTGATATGTTCTTATTGTATGGCGAATAAACTGAATTATGACGATACTTTTTGTTCAGGATGTTGACTATCGCTAATGAAGTGTTAAATAATATTTCTGTTAATCAGAATTAGATGGAATTCATGTAAGATGAGGCTATTATCAATAATATAAGAAGTATTGTATAGGATGTAGTTTTACTTGTAATTCTGGCGTAGTATATTAGAACAAATAACAAAATAAACAAATATTTTGTATCATTCCTCAACGTTTCGGTCTTGCTAGGAAGATCCTTTTCAAGAGTATGAATCTGACACTAAGTTTTCAGGTTAATATTCAAGTTTTGGTACAGAAAGTGGTGACCTTTACAATCATCCAATTACATAGTGATGTCTAGCAAAGATCGATGTAATACAGGTGAGTGAATAAGCAACTCGGTCAGAGAGGTTTTTCCGTTGTGCAAGTAAGGTGGAACAAAAATAGGGTGGGGAAATTTTTTAGTTCGTCTATGATAAGTACAATGGGGTTGTGAGACATCAAGGGTGAGAAAGAATAGATTACTAGTTTGGAAGGATGAATATTTGAAGATGAGACAATATATCTTAAATAAATAAATAATAATAATAATGATAACCACAAATGTACTTTTGATAACACTTGAAGTATGAGTGATAACAAAATGGATCATGTTATGGTTCATCGAATGTATATGACTCAGAAAGTAGTGTAAAATTGATGAAAATAGATCAATAAGGTGTATGTAATAGGACTAGACAATCTGTTTAAATGCAACCATTTTTTCCTCGCTTTTCTTCCCTTTCCTCTCCTTTCCTTTTCTCTTTTCTTTTTCTCTTTTTTCCTCATGGTTAAGACGATTAAGAGAAATAACACCGGAGAGTTCAAACAAGAGTGAATTCAGAATAAATAAATCATGTCGAATGAAATTGTGTTCTACCGTCTCTTCACATATTATTTGCCTAGGCAAGTCATTAATGTTTACCATATTAGTGGGATGTCTAACCCATCTTTTCTGAAGGATATGAGCAGATATGCAAAGCTTCTGCAATGGTCCGCTCTTTGTGAGAAAGAAAACCCTTTTGCAGAACTTTTGTCTGTTCGAATGATATTTTATGACCCGAATACAGGGCATGAACTGCGATAGCAGAGCTTTTTTCAAGTTTTTCTAGATCATATGAATTTTTTGGTGGTTTTTTGGAACTTCTACCGTGTTCGGCTAGACGTGTTAGTACTTGACGTGATGTCTCTCCAATGTATGTGGCATTGCATTCACTGCAGTCTACCTTATAAACACAGTTTTGTTGTTCCAAATGAGGAATCGGATCTTTTAATTTACGCAGGTGTGAGTGTAATGTATTCGTCACCTTAAAGAATATTCTGATGCTGCAACTACTAAGGATACGTCTTATTTCCTCTGAAGGGGATATTCGATAAGGAAGTACTATAGTACTTATCCAATCTTTATGGCTTGACTTTTTCATATTTTTAGTCGATAAACTTTTTCCAAACCATTTAGTCCATTGTTAGTCAGGATATCTTCAAATATAAGAAGTAGCTAGAAATTAAAAAGAGGTCAGTAGTTCAAAGTGAACTATTCATTGGAGCAAGTTATGTTTTCCTTAATTTGTTCTATACAGATGTTGACTGACTGAATTAGTTTATCACTACTATTATTATTATTGTTATTATTATTTTCATTGAAATACAAAGTTTACAAGTTAATGTCACAATGTAATGACCCGTGAAAGGTAAGAATGACGGCATGATAAACATGACGATAGTGAGGAGGATGTAAATTAATTGCCCAGAACTAAATAATGAACAAATGTTCTGCCCGCTTGAGGTATCAGTTCGTTCACTTCAGATAGGGAAATCGTTCACAAGAATCATTAACATAATAAGAATGTAATATCATTTTTATTTGATTGATGGAATTCATCACAAAGTGAAACAGTATTATTTACTAGATTACGTTTCTGACACAATCTGCTGTCCGTTTTCTACAACTCTGGCACTTCGACAGGATTAGAACTATACAAATGATATTTCAAATTTGTGAAGTTATCTTCATATGTCTATGGACAGTAAATTATATCCGAAACGTAATCCAATAAATAATACTGTTCCACTATGTGATACATCGAATAAACCAAGTAGAATGGAACTATATTCATAATGACCGCCGTTTTCATCAGTATTTTGAATGGAATCAAAGTTCTGATATGGTCGAGAGGGGGTAAAGGTTTTCTCACCAAGAAACTCTTGCTACCAAAAAAAACAAACAATGAACTGCAAGTGACTTTCTATCCAACACTTTCCAGTTCCCAGCAAGCAGTAAAAGAAAAACAAACATGAGTGAGCAGTTTGTTAACTCAATCTTACAGACGGTGTCATATGTTAAGGACTAATGAGTATATAGAATCTTGGAAATGGACTCTAAAGTTAAGACACCATAAAATACCTCTTTCAATGAAGAACGGTCAAGATT